GGCACTGGAACTGTTAGGGACATATGTATGTGTCGCTTTCTACCAGACACACGACTTGTTCGTCCCGTCAATATTAGTTAGTATTATTAAAAAAAGTTGTCATGTGCTGTGCGGCCTATTAAGAAAACGATCGTAGGTTGTAATCATGACAAGTTTACGAAAAAACCATAGCATGCAATTCATTTATCGCATGCCTATTAGTTTTGACATTAGCCAAATCTTATGTTATTTTCGCCAAATGTGAAGTATGTTTATTCAAAGCTTGGTCACAATTATTTTAATTTTGGACCGTTGTAAAATGTCCAGGAATGCAAAACAAAATACGATTTTCATTCTCGATCCGAAAAATAAAAACTTAATTCTTGTTATTTATTTAATTAATACAAGATTTTAATCAATAAAAGCGCACAAATAACTCACATAAACAAGTAATTATCTTAAATCAAAGACATTGTACTATAACGACTATAGTTAGTAAAAACATAATATTATAAATGGAAGAAGGAAGCTCTCAGTAAAATCAATATTTGATAAAAAAGTATATAAAATATTTGATCGCAAACAGTATTTTATGCAATCATTGCATAATGATTCAGGTTCATTTATTTCTCAAATATAATATTACAGTATAAATTGCACTACATGCATTGACTTACAAATAAATGGACGACGGGTCTAATACAAAAACCACGAAAAAAATGTCCCAAGTCAACCTATGTAAACGTAGTGACATGTAAAGGAATAGTCAGTCGAACAAACGAAGACTAAAGCGTGAATGACGCTCTGAATACGATTTTAACGCCCTATAAGTTCGGACACTTTTTAGCGCGGACCCGACGTCCATATTAATTGTAAGTCAATGACTACATGTCAAAGTATGAAAAATTATATTGAGATTGTCAAACAAAAAAAAAAAAAATTATAAGAAAAATACACTAGAAATAACAATAAAATATAAAACAATAATTAGAAAATTAACAATTCATTAATAATAATATTGTTGTCATTAAATTACATATCAAATGTCATTCTCCATCAAGGATCGTCATAAGTTGATAACAAATATACAAAAGATTGCCAATACGATAAAAATTAAAATAAAATAGAAAATACTCAATAGCCTCAAATTTTTAGGTACATTACTGCAGAGGCCGGGAAGTAAGGGATTGCTGGACGAGTGAGTTACAAGGTCGAGAGCCAGCGAGGCCTTGTATTAATATGAGTCAAGCAATCCCCATTCCGGCCAAGGCGTGTATAGTGCTTTTCTCAAACAATGCGAGAAAATAATAAGAAACTACAGAGAGGAAGATATATAATGAAAAAAGTAGAAAAAACAAATTAATTAATTTCTTAGGTTTTCGCGATTGTTACCCATAGGAAATGAAACTATTTTTCCGGATTTAAATCGCGGTTTGCATCAATATTAGACATAACTGGTCGAAGACTGTACCACCTCAGTCAACGGTGACCATGGGACCTGTAAAGGGCCCGAAACGTCGGTTTGTTTGAAAAAACAAATATACGCGATTTAAATTCGGAAAAATAGTTTCATTTCCTAAAATTAATTAATATTAAAAGTATAATATTATATAAATATATTTATGATTTCCTATGTCCTTTGTGATGATATTCATGAGCTCTGTACTCCTGCATGCACCGTTTATCCTTAAAATTAGAGCAACCTGAAACAAACAAAGGTTTGTTATGCTCATTTACAGTGTCGGAACTAATATATTTCAGTGTTACACATAACGATATATATACGTTACATATAACCTTGCCTTAGTTGCTATTGCTTGAAAGTTTAGGGGTTTGCGTTGCTCGCTTCCGTAGGTTTACCCTCGATACTCTACAAGTGACCCCTGAGTGGTGCTAAAAAGAGCACAACTGCTGGTGGTAGGCTTCGGTCGGAGACTAGCGGGATGCGGGAGGGGAGCGGGAAGCACGGTGCACCACTGGCCGACAGTGGGAACTTGGGGGCCCAAGTAGCGGGAAAGCCACCCGTGAAATTCTGCCCCGCCACCCAACTAAAAATCCCTGAATGCTCCACCTTGCCGGTTGGTGACCTGAAGGAAGGAACAGGTGGCCATCTCTTGTCCAAAGTTTGAAAGAACAGTTCCACGATGTCAAGGACTGTCTAGCCTGTGCTGGGAGAATCACATTGTTTACTTTGGTTTTATAACCATTTACATTAATTACCAAGTTTTTTTTTATAATAACAAGTGACGGGACGAACAAATCGTGCTCCTGGTGGTAAACTACACGCCTGTTCGTAACAGTTGCTGTGCCACTCAGAGTTTTAAATCGCAAAGATCTGAGGGACACTGCCACTGCGCCTGTCACCCTGAGACATAAGTTGACAAGTCCCATATACCTGTAATGTCACCAGTATAATTATCATAACGGGATTGTTATTGGAGATTTGTATCCTTATTATAAGCTAAAAATCACATAACAATTTAATTAATAATTTACACTAAGCATTCATTTATTTAGACAGCTAAGGTATAAAAACACAATAAAAGCTAAAATACTATAAACTAAAACTAGGATTAAAATTATATGTGAATAAAAATGGGTCCCCGCGGCAACGTCCCCGAGATGCTGGCAGCGTTTCCCCTTTATATAGCTTTGCTAATAACTTGGGCATAAGGTAGCTGCCGGTCCTTGGGTTTCCCAGACAATCTATAAATGTTTTTAATAAAATTTTGTAAAGATGAAGGGCATCGAGACGGCACGGGCCAAGGGTTTCCACTCCGAAAGGTGCAAATACGTGATCGGAGCTGAGGTCCTGGTATTTATTACGCTTTTGTTTTTCCAACAGCTCAGATGCGGAGTCAGCTCTCTTGTTGGTGTGCCGTAGCCTCCCATACGAGTTACATTGTCATATCATATTTTTGGCAAATAAATTATTAAATTGATGAACACGACATACACTAAATAACAGGTTTCTTACTACGTTATGTAATTTTGAATAAGAAAGACTTTTAAAATGGACATGACCGTTTCTAACAAAATCAATTTGAGGTACACTCAACCTGTTGCTGCTCATAAAAATTATCATGTCGTTTGTGGTCGTAGAAGGCTATCATTAAGACAACCAAAAAAATAATAGATAATTACCATTACCTATTAATCAAAAATACAATATGCATTGTTTTGTAAAACACTGTCTCTTTGTTCATCCCAAAATGTAACGCCGTGCTATATCCTCTCATTGTTCCGTTAAATTAAATTTCTATAAATTGTACCAAATTTACACTTCCAACTACACAAACAATCAAGTGTCTTGGATTAAATCACGGTACGCTGAATATTTTATGAGTTTCCACATGCATTATTTTGTTACAAGTCTTCAATTATTACGACTTTAGTGTAGGGATGTCACGCGGAAAGACCTCACGAAGTGCTTAAAAAATATGAATGTTATATATAGCCAATATCATTCTTTAGAGCTTTGACTGATCAAACCTGGTGTGTTTGCTTAAACTTTTGTCCCTCTTGTGTGTGCTCAAAATAAGGTCTATTCTTCTCTAAAGTTAAAAATATTGCCCTAAGAACCGGATGAAATAGACCTCTCCCATAAGAAAGATCTCAATGAGATCTGAAATCTGATATGTAAAAAACATTTGGCTAAACATATCACTATATTTATTTGTTACATTGTAACATCAAAGACATTTGAATATCTCGCGATCGGGAAACGCTCGGATATGGAAGTTTTAGTGGTCGTCAGGTTTTTAACTTCATTTTAAGGCATTTTAAATTGTAAGGGCACTTTAAAATTAGTCGCTGATAGAACCGCTGCAGTGGCGCGACTGTGGCGCGCGCGTCATTAATTGTGACTGCAAAAGTGGCGTGCGCATGTTACACCAGTGGCGCTGCAACTGCAAATGCGCTTCTAATACGCAGGCCACACCGTGAACGAAGTTAAGCTAACTTAGCTTAGCTTATGTAGCCAGAGCATATTTTCATACTTCGGTTCACACCGCGAACTAAGCTAACCGAGCTAACTAAACTAATCCCGCTAGCTATGTAAAATATGGCGCCCTTCTGCCGCCCTTCACCCGCGAACGTACCATAGTCACTACTTACTACTTATTTTCTCAGCTTACCTTTACTTGCAACTACGTGACCTAAGTTAGTTAGTTTCTTGTCCGGTGTGGCCTGCGCTTAAATATTGTATGAAAATTAGAAGTGGAGCTGTAGGTGACCGTCAGGATGGCTGGTCGCCTGTGGCATCTGGCACTGAGTGTATATTCAAGAATGACTATCTATTTGCTACCTTTGATATATTCTGAGAAATTTAAAAAAATAATTGACTAGCCATTCTGATATCAAGATGGCTGGCGGCCACTTTGTAAGTTATTTAGAAAAGGTATCAATTCTTGAATATACACTGAATGCGACCAGCCATCCTGATGGTCACGGGCTGTAGCGCCACTGTGGCACCACTCACACGCTGTTCTATAAGCGTCTAATTTAAAAGCACCCTAAGAAACCATATCAGCGATAACCATAATTGCTTTTACTTCGTATTCTCTTTCCTTCGTATACTTTAAATTGTTTTCTCAATCGTAGGCTTGATCTTTGGTTGACCAGTTGTTAAAAAAAATTACAGTGTGCATAGGCATAAAAAGCATTAAGCTTATCAGTGCAAATAAATTAATTGAATTAATTCAGATTTAATTCCGAAAAATTGGTTTAAAATGTTCGGTACAGAAGAAAAAGTCAAACATAATAGAATATTAACTACTATGTTTATAATATTCGGTACATTGTGTACTAGTGGATACAAACATAAAAAGGAGAACGAGGTTATTTACATTCTTATATGGACACCTAGTGGTCATGAACCATTTAATTTCGTCGATATGGGACAGAAAGCTTTCAGAAATTGTGACTTTAGAAATTGCTACTTGACCGCGGATCATGAATATTTCAAAAACATATTGGACTTTGATGTAATAATGTTCAATAATATAGCTTTAAAAGTAGGTATGGATTTACCGCCTAAACGATCTGCGAAACAAAAATACGTCATGTATGGTTTGGAGACCTCGGTATACCACTTAATGTCTGAAGAATTCAACGGGTTCTTCAATATCACTTTTACATACAAGCTCTCATCTAATATCACGATTCCTTACGTAGTCATAAAAAACGATAACAATGAGGTGATCGGGCCGAAAATTGATATGCATTGGATGAATGTGAGTGAAATGAACGAAACGAGCGATTATGTGAAAAGCAAACTACGAAATAAACACATCGCGGCCGCGTGGATTGTATCCCACTGCGATACACCTTTCCGTCGTTTATATGCCTTCGCTTTAAGAGATGAATTGGCTCGATATGGGCACATACTGGATATTTATGGGAAATGCGGCACAAAGCAATGTCCTCGAGGCGATTACGGGGCGTGCGGTAACATTCAATGTCCTCAATTTGGAAGAATGGATGAATGTTTAGCATATTTAGAGTCAGATTATTATTTTTATTTATCATTTGAGAATTCGTTCAGTGAGGACTACGTCACTGAAAAGCTTTTGCATCCTTTACAACACTACTCAGTGCCTGTGGTTTTTGGAAGAGCTAATTATACCAGGTACGTGTTTATAGTTCATATGACTATTTTATACAAGAGTTTTATTTCATTTTGATATGATTCAAATTCCTGTAATATTAATACAATAAGATGTATAGATCACAATATGTTGACGGCCTCGGTAACACAGCGGCTATAATTTTCGGCGCTAGGCGAAACTTTTGCCCAGGTTCACTTCATGATAGGACCAATTTAGGAAACACTATTTTAAATTTTTAAATTGTTTCTGGTCTGGTTGTTCTGGGTAGTCTCTCCATATCGTAGCTCTGGTACTCACTTAAAACAATAAATAAAAAACGGGGACTTTTGGGGAGAATTCATAGTAGGTACTTTAGTTACGTCAAATGGTGGCAATATGTGGCAGTATTTCTTTGGACGAACTCTTTCACAAGGAGTTCTACTGCTTCTATACATACCCATAAAAACTGGAACACAGTAATGTAAAGCTCATATTACTGCTTGGCGGCAGAAATAAGGTACTTCCCTAGACGAACTCTTTCACAAGGAGCTCTACAGCTACTAAAGTAAAGTAATAATGAAAGTCATTAAACGTCTCGTTCTTACAGATTCATGCCTAAAGGAATTTATTTGGACGCCAACATTTTACCGCCGGCGAAAATGGCGGAAATAATGACTAAAATTATAAATGACACGAACAAATATTACGAATTTTTCAAATGGCACGACCACTACAGTTTCCACTTCTCTGGTGAGGATCGTTACAGTGGAGAAATGTGCAAATTGTGTACGTTTCTTAATAAGAGTAAGAACAAAACGAGCACTTATTACAATATTACTGAATGGTGGAATGAAGGGTCGCCTGCGTGGCCACCGGACACTATGGGACCTATGACAACAATATCACTACCAGAACAAACCGGTTTGGAGAGATTCATAACAAATGTACTGAACTTTTTTGACCCGTCCTCGGATTGATTAGTTCGCGACGGTGTAGTTCAAAGACAGACGTGAATGATTTGTTTTTCCTTGTCTTTATTATGTCTCGACATATTCTATAGTCATTACTATTGTAAGCGTGACTTATGTGACAAGAGATAATAAATAATTCCAATTCCAATTTTTTTATAATAGATCTGTCTATTTCCACAATGATTCTGCAAAAGTCAGGGTTAAGAATGACTATGTACGGTCATTGTGCTAAAATAATATAAAAATGATGACGATCGCCGCCAATGTTCAGTTGGAGAATTGCCAGTCTTTATCATGAATTGGCATTCAAAGATGAAACTTGAATTATATGCAAAGACTAAAAATTGATCACGCTTAATAATAACTTAACAGAAAATATAATAAAATTTTGAATTTAAGTGATTTTTTGTATTTTTAATTGTTTTGTACACTGAGGTGAAGTAATACGCAGTAAATAGGGAGTAGTAATGAATAAAAAGCAGTGAAACCTAATTACGTATACATAGTGAGATACTGGACAGCAAGTTTTCTTTTTGTAAAAATTTTGATAATGAAAAAAGAAAGTAAAGTAAGTGCATTAACGTGTAGAGCAAAAATCAAACACCTAGTACGAAGAAAACAGAAATTTCTTTTCTCGGTCTATCGTGTAAAGGGCTCTACTCTAGTCAAAGGAGCTCATAAGATCATATTTCTTTAAATACTTTACTGGTTATAACTAGTAAGACAATATCGAGTTCTTAGGGATTTGCGATTGTATGATCGCGTATATTTGTTTTTTCTGTTGTTTTGGGATCTAAATTGCGTTATGGGAAAGGGGAGCAAGATGGGGCACTTAACGTTTGGAGCTCAATAAAACTGACAATGATGTAGACACATCATTTCAGTTACGTATTAACGTAAAAAATCATAAACTAGAAAAATTTACATCACTCCATCTAGCCCCAATGGGGTAAGACGGGGTACCCTTAAGGGGCAAAATGGAGTGTAAAACAACCATTATAATTATTACTGACTAAACTCGCATGTGAACGTAGCATATTCATTTGTTTTTTAGATTTTTCCGGATATAATTGCGTATTATATATATTTTTCAAACAAACCAACGTTTCGGGCCAATGGGCAACATTAACCGTGGCATCTGTGAAGGACCCCGAAAACGTTGGTTCGTTTGAAAAATCAAATGTACATGATTTACATGAGTCGTAAGACAATATTTCACTAAAAACTTTAAACACTAAAGACTGGTTGTAATTAGTAAAGTTTTCAGTGAAATTTTGTCTCATGAGAAGCAGTAGAGATCCTTGTGAAAAAGTTTGTCCTGGGAAGTACTGTCACTACCGCAAAGCTGTAATGCATTACTGCGAACCGGTTTTGAAGTCAAAGTCAAAGTCAAATAATGTTTATTTCATAGGTAACCAAATTATATTTGAAATCGTCATACTGATTAAACTCTACTGCTCGTAAGGCAGATTTTCCTAAGAAGAATAAGCAAGAAACTCAAGGGGTTGCTCTTTGTAAATGTACATTTGAATACATGTATCATTACAATAATTCATTTAAACGTTCTAGACCGAGAATACCTGAAAGAGCTAAATGGGTTAGTACCAAGGATTTTTATCATCCAAGTACGCAGGAGGTGTATAACCTTTAGCATAAAGTTTTTGTTTCACAATAGTTTCAAACCTCGCAAATGGCAAATTTTGAATATCAATCGGAATCTTATTAAAAAAGCGTATACATTGCCCTATAAATGAATTTCAAACTTTATGAAGACTACTGTCAAAAACAGCTAGTTTATTTATATTCCTCCTAATAATGTTATGTCTGTCATGTTATAAGTGTTTTTATAAAAAGAAAATATATTTTTCTTAACATAAATAACATGTTCGTAAATGTACTGTGACGTTAGTGTAAGAATGTTATTCTCTTTAAACTTATCTGTTATCTTCCAACTTATATTTCAGTGAAATTACTTTTAGACACATTTAAGCTATTTATTACAGACACATAGGACTTGTCGACTTATGCCTTAGGGTGACGGGTGCAGTGGCAGTGCCCCTCAGAGCTTTGTGACTTAAAGCTCTGAGTGGATTGTAACTGTTATGGATATGAGTGTCGCTTACAACCAGGCGTACGAATCGCTCGTCTCGTCTCTTGATATCATAAAAAAGGCCACATTCTTTGGCACTTTATTTACCTAATTGGTATTATCGTTTTTTATAAAGTTCAAATGTACAATCATTGGTTAATTACGTACCTAATCTACACTTGTAGATTCTTACATCCAACGCGTACTGTGAATTAAGTATAATAACGCATAATAACAGTGTTTAATTGGTATACTTGTCGCATATTACACATACTTAACACAAGCCACTAATTTTTTTTATACCTTTCACACGATGGCTAGAAATGACGTGTTCCCAATAAGTCATTACGAAAGTATGTCGAAAGTGTCGAAGGTGAGGACAATGGAGGATATCCGGTGATTAAAGAAGATATTTAAGGGTCATATCGCGTGCGTCTTGGCAATGACTAAGCAATAACTTGCACTAGCGATAATATAGTTACGCGGAAGAAATAACCGATAGAAATGGCTTGCTCATAACTAAATCTTTTCTTTAGGACCAGGAGCGGTATTCTGTAATCGTTGACGCTCGCTATTCGATATTCGTTATGCGGTTTTACCGACGGTATCGATTTTGTCGACAAATGCTATTCTGTACACTACTTTAACCGATCATAACGACAATTCGGTTCGATACGTTCGTTAAGTTTCGTTAAGATTCGATATTTTTATCGGCTCTTCGAGGGTACCCTGTTCACGTCGGTATTCTTAACGTCGCGCTTTCTTCTTACATTTCACATGTTTGTGTTTCGATCGCATTAAGTGGAAAAAATTCACTTTTTGCCTTAAGGTAAGCCAAAATGTTTCGTTATTGAAAGTGACTTGTTCTTGGCTGTGTGTTGTAATCACTTGTTTATGTCGTGATGCCGCGATTGTAGAGGTTAAGGTGAGCGACGTTTCCCTAGTAAATTCTCATCTCATCAGATCTTACCTTATTAGAGATTTACCTTAGAGGATGGAAAAAATAAAGTAAATATTTACGGAACTCCAATTTGGTTACTTGTCGTGATGTATTATTGTATCCGTCATTTTGCAGAAGTATTCAGAAAAAATAAACACAAACAGTTCATTTCCCTTGAATGTCACAAACTTTGCACAAACTAAATAACCATATAAGAGTGTTTGCAAATAACTATTTGAATACTCGATCGTAATTGGTCGAGAAACATAGCCTCCTGTCGGGATGTTCCCATTTCGTCTGTTTTTCGACAATGAAACACTGACGTCACATCGCTGTCGGTACGCGTCGGTTGCAGTAACGATTTTCGTTATCGTGGATTTACAGGATAGCATAATCGGTAAGTTGTCGATACGGCAACCAAAGACTTTCGCTATCAGAGCCATACCGAATCAAAGCGATAGTGACTACAGAATACCGCTCCAAGGGTCTAATCCCTTTCCACGCCCGAATCCGTCCCAAACAATGTTGTCAAAAGAGTAATAACCATTTGCTTTGATTTAATTTTAAAACACGCATGATACGAATGAAGCTTTATACTTGACATTGTTAACTGCCTTCGTGACCGAACGGTTACCATGCCGGACAGCCACGCAGAGGTTCGAGGTTCAATTCCCGGGCCCGGAGAAATATTTGTATGTCCTATATTTATTTCTCTCGTGAGTTTGGGTGTAATTTGTGGTTGTCTATGTGTGTGTCCATGACTCCCGCGACACAGGCTTTCCCTAGTGCGGGGTTATGTTGAGTGTGTGTGCGTTATTGTTATTATTATACTATTGTCTTTTGATTTTTGATCCGGACGGATGTCGGACTTCTCCTGTATTCTTGGCTAAGATCCGTGTTCGAGACCACTCCCTGTGCGACTGTGGTCTGGCAAAAGGTTCCCTCGAGCGCCTGTTTTTTTATTGTAATCGTGTCATCACTCCTCTGTATGATATCCTCCCTCCTAAAACCCCCGTCCCATAAATATCAACTTCATCCTAACGTTAGTCCATTCTCACTTTGTGCATGTGCTGTGCAAATTTATAAAAAAACTGTTTGTTTTTGTAATAGTCTGTGTAGGTTCTCTGTCGTTGTAGATTTGTAGATTCTCCTCTCAGTGAATTCTATCGAAATTCACCGCGTGCATTCCTGAACTCATATTGGCGAAATCATCGATTACTTCGATGGGGCCATAACATTTAAAAGAAGAAAAAGAATAAAAAGAAGGAAGTAATGGATCAATGCATCCCGCAGAAACAATTGTAAGCCAGTTTCATCTCCTAATTTATATAGAGACCATTACAAATCTGATCAGTTGTATCACGAAAGCGGGTATATCAGTTAGTGGCAGTTAGAAGCAGATATACCAGATATACCACAGATAACATTGGAAGGCGAAATAAATCAAAGTAATCAAAGTGATCAAAGTAGTAGAAGTAAATCTAATATCAATAAAAAAATTATAAATATATTTTTTTTATATTAAACGATTACAGAGGACTGTCTGAGATGATGAGTGGCGTCTTTCTTAAAAGGGTCCTGTCAGAACGACTGCGTCGTGGGCGTTACTGCCATGCGTTTTATGTAAAGTTGTAAATAGCTTCTGATATTTGTTATATTTTTAAGTGGTTTAATATAATAATTATAGTGTTCGTTTTAGTTGATTTTAGTAAATAAGTTGTCATGGAAGTGAATAAAGTTTTTATCTATCTGTATAATTATCTAATATCAAATGATGATATTCACCAGCGATGACGGTGCCATC